CTACGCTCTGTTTCACGATCTTCCGTTCTTCTTAATTGTCTTCTTAACTTTGTCATGGGCCCAATATGTATAAAGCCCATCACATAAAGCCCATCGCTTAGAACGAAGCCCACAAACATCTTCATTCATAAGTTCGTATTCTGTATACGTGGCTAGTGACCACAAGTGAATCTGTGCCACAAATGAATCTGTACAAACAATTTATTTTAAAAATACTTATTTGCTTATAAAGTAGGCCATTGTCAAAATTGAGAATTTTTACACCCATTACTCATTGCTCTGATTCTCTGAACATGATTTTGATAAATCATTCGGATAATATAAAGTTAACATTATGTCATGTGGACAAAGCAGAGCATGCGTTCACTGATCCAATTTTCATTTTTATATGTTCCAAAATATCTAAACGTAATATATATGCGAAAGCATAAAACCATTTTTCCATAATCGTAGCTCAAACTCTTTTAAAACAAAAAAAAATAGTTCTAACTTAGGATTTAATTAACTAATTCTACTTAAAACATCAATTATAAGCCTCTCGAAAGTTTGTTTGTGTTTTTTTCTATCGAGAGACTTTTATAAAAAAAAAAATTAATGGATTCATGTTCATTAGATGTTATATTTGAATGCGTAGGCTAGAATATTCCCACAACAAAGGGAATACTTGTTACGCATCTTCGAGTTTGCATCGTCATTCGTTTCTCAACTTCACACATGCTATATCACAATCTTAACTCAAAAAATAATATCAACATTTTCAAATAATGCTACTCATAATATCAAGAGCGGTTTCAAATGATCATCTCAGAAAACCATGAGATCATCGAATGGAAATTGAAACATTGCTCTTTCTTAGTCATTTGTTTTTCAAATTTTGAATATATATATAATTTTTTTTTAAAGTGATATAAGCTGAGATTTGTAGTCTTGTAGATGTTACAACCTAGGCATATATATCGTTTTTACATGTTCGTTTAATTATTTATTCAATTTTGTAACCAACTTCGTTTAATTAGTATGATTTTTTCCTTGTAGAAGTACATCATTAACATCGACAGTAGACACAAGCTTTAACGTAGTAAAAAGTAATATCAGTCGGGTTCATTGTATAAATAACGAAAGCCAATTGTTCATTATTTTCAAAGGAGAAAAATAATAATAAAAT